CATGGCCCCCGTCACCACGGTCCTGTGCACGCCCCTCTCTGGCTGTCTCAACCCTTTTTTCCCTCTCTGCTTGGTTCACTGCTGACTGCCTTTCGGGTCCCCTCCCCACACCTGCTGGGTCCTCGTGTGCCTCTCCTGGAGATCTTGCCACCGTCGTGTGTGCTTCGGCCAGCACGATGATCTTATTGAAGTTTTTGTCTCCAACCCAACTGCAAGGGCTGGCTCGCCTTATCTCTTCTGCTCCTGTCCCGCAGTCAGGGCCGCATAAAGAATGAAGAGACAACGGTGAGCCAGGTGGACACTGTTGGCCTTGTGCCGGGCACATCTCCTAGAGCGTCGATTGTGCTCGGCGATTTCGAAGGGGATATATTTGGATATAAACACAGATCAATCCTCAAGTAGAATTCAGCTTGATCAGTTCTCAGAATCCAAGACGTCGAGCTGAACCCACACTCCTCAATGAGGTTATGAACTCAGCTTCCTCCATGCACGTGGGGGTCTTAGTGGAAGAGTAGGTTGCAGTCGGTGGGAGAGATGTCAGGCCAGAGTTCAAACCCCAGCGCCGGACTCTATTCCTGTGACGCCAGGCAATTTATTTGATCACTCTTAAGATTCAGGTTTGCCGTCTGCAAAACGGGCTATGACCACCTGCCCCTCAGAGCTGCTGTGGGAAAGAGAGATGACACGAGAGTCCAGCTCAGTGCCCGGCACAGAGCGAGTGCTCAGGAAGTGGTGGCCTTTGCATTAGTCATTCGCCAGCGACGGTCTTTTGAACTGAAGGCTGTTTGTTGGTGGTGACTAAGGTGACGCATTTTCTAGAGCAAAGACAAGCAAACTAAGACTGCACTTCCAACTTACAGAAAGATGGCTCCCCGGAAGTGGTTATAGCTTTCCACCATCTTTGAACTTGACCTTCCTCTCCCATGTCCAGCCTGGAGCCAGAGCCCATTGCTCCCTCCCTTGTACTCCATGATTGCTCGCCCTCTGGTCCATATAAGGCCATCACCTCGGGACATAATGACACGTTGACTGGACCCGGAGTTTGTTACTCATCTGCTAAATGTTTGCTGAATGAAAGATGGGATGGAATAAACTGCCTTAGAGGGAGTCATCCTAGGGGAGGGTGTTTTCCTCTTCTACAGACTGTTCAAGTAGCTTCCCCTTTTCTTCCCCCTTCAAGTGTGTAGTGATTTAATGGGCTTGAATCAGGCCAAAATGGAATATGGGGGACCTGTGTGGAAAATTCTACAGGCAGATTTTTCCTTGTTGGGATTTTGCTCTAAATGACCAGCACTTTCTGGTGAAAGGAGTCCAGAGCCAGGAAGACTGGAAACGTGTGCACGTTGAGAGCTGCAAGGACACTGAAAAGTCCCTTAATGCATTCAAAATGCCCGTAATGCGAGCTGCCGTTTCCCACGCGCAGAACCGTGTTGGGCACCGCGTCCCCGGATCCGTGACTCGGCCCGAGGAGGCAGGCTCTCTTTAGAGCCCCCTTGGCTGGCGAGGAATCCAAAGTCCCAGGGAGGGAAGTGATGGGCATGAGGGCACAGAGGACACGTGCAAGAGGATCAGGGTCAAGGGTCTAGTGGGTGGTGGTGCAGTGCTGGGTTCGAGGGTAAACGGGCAAACAGAACCGATTCGGCGAGACTCCCCAGCTCTGAGAATAACTCATTGTGCAACCCCGGCCAAGTCGCTCTCCTCTGCTCAAGAAGAAGCACCTGATCAGTTGGGGATAAGAAATATTATTGATAATAATAGTAGTTAACATACCTGCTTACACGATTCTAAGCACTCTGTATGTCACTTCCCTTAGTCCCACAGGGTAAGTCGGGAGGACAGAGCCTTGAAGGGACTGAGACCGTGTAGCCACGTGGCTGCATGGAGCACGGTAGGTTCAAAAAGTTTGGCAGATCGTGAGCCCAGAACACAGCAGGGCAAGTTGAGGTGGGGAGATGTGAGCAGGGCCAGGCTTCTCAGGGCCTTGGAGGCCCCAGGCTGAGGACTCTGGTCCTTATCCCGAGACACATGAGGCACCTGTCAGCAGCTCCCATCTCGTACGTCCTCCATGCACACTGTCCTTTCTCACGCTCCATCTATTATTTGTCTTTCTCCCTTTTTGATACCACAAGTTTCCTAAGAGTAAGGACTGGGTCTTATTTATTTATGTCTCTCCGATGCTTAGCACAGAACCAGGTACGCATGGGTACTCGATAAATGATTGTGAATCGAATACTTAATGTAGTATTCAATATTTAATGTTAACATGTTCAATATTTAATAACTATAGATAATACATTTGTCATATAGTTATTAATATCTATAATATCATTTCCATTAGGTAAGCATTTCTGCTATAAAATGACATATGCATTCCTAGAAAACACTGCACTCTGAAAAACTCAGAAATCGCTTTGGGGACCACTGCGCTGCGACAGAACCCTCACCATCATGCAACTCGGTCATGAAGCACAATCCTAGCGACGGTCCTGGCACACTTCAAAGGACCTGAATAACCATAGGGCTATATTTTAAAAACCGAAAGGGGAACTTGATGGAGGGGCTAGAGCAGGGCTGACGCTGCCGAGTTGGAGGAGCAGGTCGCCCGCTTTGCCAGAACAGTCAGGGATGGACAGGGCAGCCCGTGGCCTTTGCACAACGATCAGGGAGAAACGAACAGTAAGCGCTTCTGAGACTGAGCACTGGGCCGACCGACCGAGACGGGGAGCGTGGAGCGAGCGGGCGTCTGGACGGCGAGGGTCCTCTGTGGCTTGCAGTGCTCTGCTGTGTTGGGGTACTTTGCATCCGGCGGTTTGTCACTTGGTGGTACCAAACATTAATGTGGTGGGAACATTTGCCTATGAACCACGGTGACCTCCACAGTCTCTTGACGTCATTCCCTGATATAACTTACGTGCACTAACCTGCGAGTGCAGAGCAAATGGTGTGTAATGCAATCAACCCGTGACGAGCTGACAGACAGGAGTGACACCTGGCCAGTTTACATCGAGAATGGTACCAGGCGCACTCCCCATGTGGGCCGTGGACAGTTTTCCTCTTGGTCCGTGAGTCTGTTCAGTAAACCCATTCTGTTAGAATGTAGAGCAAGACCATGTGGCGCTGGGTGACCCTGCGAAGAGCATGACACCTGGGATGTGGTTCTTTCCGCATCAGGAGCACCTGAGCTCATGCCTCTGGAATTGGAGTCAGAGGACCTCGACCCCAGCCTGTGCGACCTTGGGAAAAGCACTTCACCTCTCTGTGCCTCGGTTCCCTCAACTACGCCAGAGCTCTGTGACACCCCCGAGTCCTTTTAAGGAGATTAGCTGAAAAGCTCTTTCTAAACTCCACAGAGTTTTGCGGAGTAGTGTCGAGTCAGGAATACCTGACGGTGTAGGAATAACCAGGTTCACAGGGCAGCAGGCAACAGAGCTAAACGCCCTGGAATCAAGCTAAATTCATCACTGGGGTTAAATGCAAAAGCTTGGATTTCCCCACAGGAAGGAAGCCCAGAACCTCTGACTGGGAAATCGTGCTGGCCCTTGACAAAAGTGTGGAGGAGGGGACCCTGCCTCCCTCTCTGAGGGGTCTCCCGGACACGCCCCCCACCCGCCCTCTCCAGGTCCTCATCCGCCCACCTCTGGCCAACCGCCCTCGGCCCCTCCCCCAGGCCGGGCCTGCTGCCCCTTTGCTCTCTCATTTTACTTTCCCAAAATAGTGCCCTCGAAGGGACACCAGCTTGGGACTCACAAGAACATGGGTTTGGATCAGCTCTACCTCTTCCCGGCTCTAATACCACAATAGCCAAGTTCTGGCTTCTTTTAATCAAGTTCCTCACCTGGAGAATGGACTTCCTGATGAATGACCTCCTCCCTCCCCTCCTCCGTCCCTCTTTTCCTTCCTTCCTTCCTCCCTTCCTCCCTTCTTTTCTCCCTTCCGTGATTAAAAGGTTTATAAATGAGCACCTTGCAGACTCTAATATGCCCAGGTGTCACCTGAGGAGCCTATTAAAAAGCAGGTTCTGATTCCACAGGGCTGGGTGGGGCCTGAGAACCTGCCTTTCCCACAAGCTCCCAGGGGACGTGAATTCGCCCCTGCGCAGCGAGAACATAGATCAGGTCCACAGTGCCTGGCCATGGAAAGCACCCAGTCAACAGAAACTGTTGCCATGAAGGTGATTTTTTTGCCCCACGCAAAGGGTTCTCCTTTGAGAGCAAGGACAGATGAGCAGAGAAACAAACCTCTGCTCACCTCCAAACTTTCAGGGAAACAAGAAAAAACAAGTTGTGCTCTGAAGGCGGGCTGGGCGTGGGGAGCGAGGACGGGGCTCCCGCAGCGCGTCAGCGTGCTGCTCGGTGCACGGGGCGCTGCAGGTGGGGCCCCTGCCCTGCAGAATCCTCTAGAGCTCAGGCCTCGACTTGCCACGCTGGGAACGCATCTCCGCGCCGGGCACACGCCTGTCCCTCCGGCTACAGCTCTCCTGGGGAATTTTCAAAGCACCCAGGGTTCGCTTGGCAAGAGTTTCCCAGGATATAAATACGCATTTGGGGCTTTTGTGTCAAGGCCTGCAGTATTTTTTTTTTTTTTTTTTGACTCGAGGCCTGCGCACAGGGCTCTCCCCCGCATCCTCATCAAAATGGAACCACAGAGGGCCCGCCACTGCTAGGAAGAGACACCAAAGACTGGGGGAGACCCCAAGTGAGGTTCAGGAGAGAACCCCCCACCACCAAACCCTGTCAGATCTTGCTGGCAGTCTTGCAGTTCTCAACGAGCTGCTGACTCACCCAGGGCGAGGGTCTTTTTTTTCTTTTTCTCTCAGAATCACCACAAAGCCCAGAGATTTTGAGGTTGGTTTAATGAGCAGCTCAGTCCTTACCATTTCTTTTCTCTGTCTTCTCCCCATCTCCACCCCGGGCCCCCCGGGCCTCAGTCCTGCCAGAAAACAGACTTGGACGCCCAGGTGCTCTGCTCTGCTTTTAATATCGAGTTTCTCTTCCTCGTAGGTCTCGAAGCACTGACTGCTCTCGGATTGACCGTGTCAAGAATTCCCAGGATGTGAGCCGTACGGGACTGGTGAGTGACCACGTGATCGGAGGCGATGGATGTCGGGGCCTGGGGTGGATGGCTCAGAGGGAGAGTGGGTGGATGGGAGGAGCAGGGCAGCCCTGAAACCGGTTCCCTCCAGGCGCCTGGAAATGGCACAGCGCAGAGAATCCAAGCGTGAGTCCCTTGGAATTACTGGGTCCCTGCCAGGCGCTCACCAGAGGCCAGCCGAGTCTGCAGGTGGCAGGGCTGTCTCCCCTGTTCTGTCCAGGGGGCCTGTGCTTGGAATTACTCCCAGGGAACCGCCTCACCAGGGTTAGGGAGACATGCTTAGGACAGAGAGGGAACTACCTGGCTCACAGCAGTGTGTAAACTCCAGCCCTGAGGAGACAGGACAGAGAGGTGAGAAAGGCACCTTGGCACGCGTAAAGGGCTGTCGCTGACGGGAGGAAGGTGGACGGCTGTTGACTTAGATTCCTAACGAAAGAGGTGTGCACAGGTGAAACGGGCGTCCAGGTGGAGCAGTGGCTTAGCCGTCACTCGCGGAATTCTGGCACAGGATGCAGAAGCGTCGATGGGAGATGCAGAAGGCGACCGCAGTTTTGAGTGGGGCGGTGTTTTCCCAGACGCTGTTCCATGATGACCAGGACACCCTGAGGGGCGGTAGGGTGAGTGAGGGAGAGGGTTTAGGGAGAGTGAATGAGGGAAGCTTCTGAGCCACACGCACCCTCTCCCGGCTGCTACAAAACCGTTTGGAAGCTGCTAGATGAGGTGACGCTCAGGTGTCTCCTGAGACGTGTTGTGCATTGGCCAGCTGTCCCTAAGCTAATGCCAGACAGTTGCACATACCACAAGTGTGACTCCAAATACCTGATGTATGTGATGGGGTGGGCAACTCTCCAGGCATGATGGGGGTTTAGATCACAGGCTCTGGGTAGCTCTCTCGTACCAAGACCCTCAAAAGATTTACCAGCTTGTCACGCCATTGAGAGATTTGTCCCAGGATCCAGACCACACAGAACAGCAAAAAGGCTTTGGGGACCGCCGTGGTGGGGCTCCCCAGGCTGTGGGAGAACAGTGAGCGTGGCCACCCCAAGAGAGTTGGGGCTCTTTGGCAGGACCAGTGCCACGAATTCAGGTCGCCAAGATCCTGGCCACTCAGTGTGAGGAGAATTGCACCGCAGACCCAGCTAGGGAAATTGCACAGGAGGGACACCCATTGCAAATGGGGGAGGGGGGAATGATGAGCCCCCAGGCTTCCTTCGTGCTTTGTAATAAGGTCTTCCTCCTCTGAGCCCGGGGTCAGCGACAAGGGTAAATATTTACCGAGGGCTCCTGAGGGTGGGGGCGCTATGGGAGGCCAGAGATGGTGTTTTTCTGTGAGAAACTGACAGCCTGGATGAGAATCGAGTTTGACAGTCGTGGTGCATAGGCTGTACTTTCAGCAGAGTCCTGAGTGCTGGGGCGGGGCGTGGGGGAGGGCTGAACCGGGCCGAACCGGGCTGAACCGGGCCGAACCGGGCCTTGAGCCGCGACTGGGCGCTTCCTTGGCAAGTCTTCAGGCAGGAGTTGGGCTTTCAAGATGGGCTGTGTCCTTGATTCACAGGACCTGGCACATAGTAGGTGCTCGGTAAGTGGCTGTCAGGTGGCCGAAAGGGAAAGCGAGGGGGAGGCAGCTCAGGGAGGCCGCGTCTGTGTTAAGGGCAGGGCCCTGGAGTCGGTTCAGATCCTGCCTCTTCCACTAGCTGCGGGGCCAGTGCCGGCCTCTCTGTGCTTTCGTATCCTCTCTGTAAAATGGGGATAATGATAATACCTACCGCATCGGTTGACTGTGAAGATTTGGAGAATTAATTCATGTCAAGCCACTTGGCCCTATGCCGGTTCGTGGGACGTGCTCAATAAATATTGGCCCTTATTCTTGTTCTAGATGTGGGATGTGGCCGCAGGCTAAGGTTCATGGTGGGACAGGACACAGCAGCATGGGTCAGGGCACAGAGCACTGGACTGGGAGTCAGAAGCCCTGCCTTAGCTGCCGTGCGAGGCGGAGGGATGGGGGTAGAAAGGGGATCCAGTCGTAACCCCTGAGCCCACTCTCCAAAACAGAAATTTGTGAGAAGGAGGTCGAAGGCGGCTCCATTTTCCTGCTCCCCCTCTGCCAGTCCATCGTGGTCCTGGCCCTGGGCAGAAGGCGAGGGCAGCTCAGCCCTTCATGACGAGCTGGGGGACCCCACGGAGAGCG